TTTGTTCCAGATAACTTATAGGTTTTACTCCAACTAATTTCCCCTCATGCCCAATGTGGGCTGATTTGCCTTATATGCAGTCCACAGATGTTAATGTGTGACATGAAATTGCTCGAGAATCCTTGGCCTGATTCCCGAGAAAGCAACTGTGGGGGATGGTCATGTAAATCTTCTACAGAGAATATCCAAGCAGATGAAATGAACAAAAATGGTTTCTTTTCCTTTTGTCAATATTGTCAAATTACCCTTAATCAAGGCATCAAAACCTGAACAATGTTACTGAAACTCCAGAAAACACTACAAAACAGTTTTTAGTGGTTCATCACCCACAATTAAAGTGTAAAGCTCAATAAGAACAAATAAACAAAGCCCAGCTCGGCTCCTCTGCTTGCACTTACAGAAAGGCCTGAAATACAGACTCAGATAATTAGTGCTTTGCTCTCACTGCTGTCAAAATAAAACTGCCAAAGTACACCATTACAATTCTTGGTCGCTGAGAACAAAAATACATTTCCAGTCTTTTAGGCTGTTTAAACCGGACTACATGTAAATGTGGAGTGTCAATATATGTACAGTAGATCTGGTCATTTTTGTACAAGCCGTTGTTAAAAGGTAAAAGAGAGCTCACTAAGTGTTCTGTGGGAACACTGCTGTGATTTCGATTGGAAAAAATCCATTTCTATGGATGAGTCACTAAATGGTATTTATTTGTTTATTTATTTGCTTATCTAATAACTTTCAACTTTTTTGTTCTTTCAACATCACATTCCTTGCAACAGTTATAGTTGGGGCACGTTGGCACAAACGTCTTCTTGATTTTAATAATATAATAAGAGATACATATTAGAGCTAAAGTATTACCTCTAAATACATAAATATGCCACAGTGGTAAATAATACAATAGCTATGTGTAAAAAACACAAGTATGGTCTGATTTCCATCCACAAGAACAGTCCAACTTGGCTCTGATTTAGACTTACTAATCAGGACATAAAGTGATCTCATCAGTTGTCCTTGTTCAGCATTACCTGCACTGTGCACATTTGCATCAGATCTGTCAGTCATAATTAGCAATGCCATGATCTATGTAATGAAAGATTATTTGTGGAGATGTTCACCCATCAGACATGGTGGGAAGATGCAGAAAGTGGGGGGGAAGAGAAAGAAACAAGCTCACTGAGATGATCAAATCTTCCCGTATGGTTTAAAGGAAAGGGGTAGTAGCAGATGGTAATGTGCAACAACACAGAATGCTTGCTTAGTAACAGAGTTTTATATCACCAATACAGAGCGGGCTCGAGATGACGCCCGTGCTGCCAGCTTCACTAAGTTCCCCATTAGACACGCTGTCTGATACAGCATGTTTGTGTACATTAGGTTTGCACACACACACACACACACGGGAGGTACATACACCACTGGTTCTTAAACCCAGACTAACCATTTCTTTTCATCATCAAGAGGCAAAATTGTGACTCATTATGTAGAAAAATAAAGGTGTGTTATTAGTTTGTCACTTATCAAAGCTTCTAGAAGTGTACTCAGGGTTGGCTTCATTATTTCATTTGAATGATTAATAAATCAAAATACTTCCCTTTGAAATGTTTTATGATGCAAAATTGGCTTCCTGTGAAGCTGAAAAGGCCTGTGTTTATTTGGTTCCTTTCACATTTGCTGTGAACAAAGACAAGAGAGGAATCTAGAGTTTTCCCACAGCAGACAGACATTAAGCTCTGCAAGGAGGAATACATACTTTTGCCATGACCTTCCTTTAATGACCTGAGCTGCCATCTGTACTCAGCTGTGTACCAGGCAAGCCCTGGGCCTTCCTTACATCTATCACCTCAGTCAGAGGGTAATGATGCAGGAGAGCTAAGGAGAAGCGGTGGAGGGCGCAAACATCTCCATCTTCCTCCTCAGGAGCCACAGTGACCTACAGTACACACAAACACACACAATCCTGACTTTTGGACTTGGTTGCCACTGGCCAAATCTTCTAATCTTGTTACTGTTTCTCTGTTTAGTCTCATTCAGTTTGATCTTCTCCCAAATTCTATGACTACTTTTGTCTCCCTGCGGTGGATAAGACTGGCTGCTACCTCTGCTGTTATGTTAAAATGTCAACCGCTGTTGCTGTGAACTCAGTGATTTTTCCATGGTGGTTTGGCACTAGCTACCATGGTGTTTTGGATTTGCTGTCAGGGGAAAAGCCTTTAAAGGTTTAGGAGTAAACAAAAGGAGACTGATATAATTGACCTCTGAGGGTAGACATTTAACTGTAAATGAGCTCCCCAGAAATACAACTACTAGTAGGTGGATTTCTCACTGGGGTTTTCCAAGTGAACAAGATCTTGTTGCTGAAGTGTGTGAAATGACCCCTGTGCCAGTCATGCTTTAATATTATTGATCGTCATAGATATGTACATTCAAGGCTCTTTAGTTTTCACAGAATGTTTTAGGTTTGTTATGTGTATATTATCATTTTTCTAGTAGCTTTTCTTGTAAAATAAAACTATGACTCATTTAGGTTTTGTCTCTGAAGTCATGAGCCACAGTGTATGGTTCTGAGTACACACTAATTAGTTGTGAGTACCAATATGTATGATACATCTGCCTGTCTACACACATTAATCTGGAGACAGTGATTTTCAAATTATCCCCTGACCACTGGAGCAGATTAGTTTGATTACTCAAGTCATTTAAATGTGCATAAATGCATGAATTATCCGTAACATTAGAAAAACAAAGTACTGACATGGATAAAGACGCTGCTGTCCTGTTTTTCCAATCACAGCAATCCTGATGAGAAGACTCAAGATAATAATGGCTATTTCTCATTTTAAAAACTGACTTGAAAATAAAATGCTCTATAAATAAAAAAAAAAAACAACAACTAAAATCAATGTAGTTATATGTGAGACGACAAAAGAACTGACTTTTTAGAGCTGAAGCCTACTGGTGTCAAATGGCTCTTCAGACTTTAAACTGAAATCAATCCCACTAAGTGAGTGCCCTCTGTTGAATTCCTACAACGGCTACTGTGTCCCCTGATAGAAATGTTTATTGTAATACTGACCAAAGTGTTATGGTTTAGGTCCTCTCACCAGGAGGGTGAGGGAGAACTGAGGTAGGACTCAAAATGGCTGATCCATGTGCTAGTAAAAAACAGGTGGTTTTAATGGTAGGGATTACAAAAGAAAAAGGAACAGAGTCAATGAATACATACCACCAGGGCTGAGCAAAGATGGCAGAGAACAGGACGAACAGGTACAAAAATAAACTAACGGCAGGAGGATGAGGACAGATAGGTGAATGGACAGGCTAACCTGGAGGACAGGCGAACAAAAAGGATATCCACAGCACAGGAACTGTCAGCTTGGATAACAAAAGGCAACGTCTGACTAACCTCATGGACAAAAAAACAAACAAAGCGGTCCACAGCACAGGAACTGTCAGCGTGGACCGTATAACACAAAACATATAACCTACATATAAAATATAATCCACAGCACAGGAACTGTCAGCGTGGATAACAAAATATGTCTTTT